ACAATATCCCACATTCTTAATTAATGCAGTAATTTTCTTAGAGTTTACTGAACCGCGTCTAATATATCTACGTAACAGATTCTGGACGGAGATTTATAATTTTGTGGCTGTGCTTTCATTAACGGAAGACCAGCACTTTGAAGCCATTCAAAGCGCGTTAGAATTATGTGGCCCTGAAACAGTCATGGTTTCCATTTGTTTCGCGATAAGGGACACCACGACAGATTTGAGAATGAGTGCTATTAGCCTCTTAACTTTCCTACTGTCTCATGAGATTCAGAAAGATTCCCTGGGAAGAAATGGCACGTTTTTATTACAAACTGTGCTGGATACTAATGTGGCACATGTCTCGATTGAAAGCAAGGATGGTACTTTGCGAGATGTCATATCGAACGTCAACAAATTATCAATAAGAGATGCGAACGCGCATTCCAGAAAATCGAATGAAAGCGAGAAAGATTTGCATGCGAAAGACGATAAGCTACCGGATCAAGAACAAGCTGTTACTATAGGAGACGAATTATGTGGACTATTGCTGCATCTTTTCATCGCTCATAGCTATGCAAAATCCAAAAAGAACAGCAAACAATCGGAGGACAAAGATCTCATTGTAGGCGCCCTTACCAATCTACTATGCGTATCAAAGAAGGCGAAGCGAACGGCGTTATGGGATAATCTTTCTGAGACTGCGTTGATGATCCTAAAAGAATTGTATATCAAATTGAATCTTCAACCATTTGAGCTTTACAAGAAGCAAGCGGAAAAGAAGGTAAAGGAAAACTAACACATTATGGAATTAATCACAATTTCTATACGGAATTTATAAAAACCACTTTCTTTTTTATTGCAGATTCATCCTCTATTGCATGATGTGAATTGTATCTTCATACTTCTGATGAACTTTATGTGCGGAGACGCATGTGTTAAGGAAAGCCTAACAAAGGAAGGCTTGGCAGACGTAATACATAAGTTATGGGCTTGGATAGCGTTAAATAAAACAGTATCAACGTCCGCCTTAAAATTACTAGCGACATTTACGACGAAATGTAATGTTGGTAAGATGATTTAAAAGCATTTAGTTATTAATAATATTGATGAAAAAGATATACGATTTTTCTGTGTCATTTTTAAATTAATTGCGTTTTAATTTTATCGCATTTTTTTAGCCGCACAATCCTTAACATTAACAACCATATTACCGGGAAGTGGATTAAGGAAAACGCCAAATACGCTCGCATTGATACATGTTGTTATACAAGTAACGTGCAAAGAAATAGAAAGGGCCGGTCAGCTTTTCGATAATCACAAGATGCATTTTGCTTTCCACGTCCTACGAAACGCGGTGCATGTTTATGAGTGTAGAGTCTGCATTTCGAAAGTAATTATCATCATCTATCCGTTATTCCAATTACAGAATAGTTTTAAAGCAATGAAACTCAGATTGCGTTTGCTTTGGGCGCTCACGCGCTATAAATTTTATTCTATCTTTCTTTAGCATGATAATGAACGATACAAATAGAAGCTTACAGAGCGCACTGAGCAAATAGTCTTAATAATGAACATGTGCTTAGTAATACGAGCATTTTCAAACTGATTAACTATGAATTAATTGTTCATTTTACAGAGTAATCTTCTTCAGCTTTTTACCAAGATACATCCCACTATCACCAAAAGAACGAAACCATGGCCATTAGTGGAAATGTATTGTCTAGAGTTTTTATTAGATTTTACTTACTACGAGGAAGGGCAATTGTGCGTGCCAAAGGTAAAATATAGAAAAATATACTAGTTTCTTGATAACTATATATAGTATATTTTTTAGGCCACTGATTCTCTAGACGTTCTAATGTATTTAGCAAAATGTCCTTCATCAACGAACAGAGTACTTGCAATATCGATATTACGCAATTTAACTTTTAACATAGCAAATAGACCTCGGCTTCTTAGTTCAGGTAAATATATAAGAACAAAATATACAGGATAGGTACAATGATTTATATTCATTGCATATTACACTATATTTGTTATTTTACAGTGGATTTCATAAATCTATTGCACGACGTTTTCAAGAATGGATCGCCATGTGAGATCAATTTAGCTGGATCTATGTTGTGGTCTTTGATCAGTAACAATCAAAAAGGAAAACTTATTATGCGAAGTGCTGGATTCTCTCAAAGCATTCGGGAAGCTCTTGGCAGATTCACGTTGTCAAGTATCGATGCTAGTAAACAGGAGCAGGAATTAGTCAAAGTTCTGCAATATGTGCTCACCATTCTCAGTCCAGTCGAAGTAAAGAATAGTGATGCTCAACTTAGTTGATATTTTAAAGAATGATCAAATGTTGTACATACATATTTATTTTTTATTTTCGATTGACGTTAACTTGTAAAATAATAAATTCAATGATTGTAATATGTTTTATATATGAAACATTGTATAGTTTCATGTATTGTACGCATCTCAAAGAAATGACTTCGTACAAACTCTTAATATAAGTATATATACACTTTTTGAAAAAAAAAGAAGTTTAATATCATTATATAATATTTTTAACAACCTTTTATAAATCTATGTTGTGTATTTAAATGATTGAAGTGTACACAAATATTCTTTCTTTCCTTTTTCCCTATTTTACTTTTGTCGATTATCATTGGATGCCTTTCATTTAGTGACGCAAGTATTGTTTTGTCTTTGTTACTCATGGAATTTAAAGGATATGACATTTGTGTCGACTTGTGTCATTAAATCGAGAGCACCTATTGTCAATCGTATCATCGAACTTTTTACGGTGCCGTTTTCTAACGTTTTCATGAAAGGAATGCGGAGTTCCAGTTATACGC